GGGGCTGGGCAGTAAGGGGCGCCGGCAGAGCTGCGGGAGGCAGGAACTGGGCTAGCAGGGGGCTGCAGGGCAGGGGTGAGGTTCACCAGCGAAGTGGTGTTGGGGGGCCCAGGACTGGCCCAGCAGGGGAGCTGCAGTGGTTTCTGCAGACCCTCTCATACCTGGGCGTTCTCTGGAGGACCCAGCGTCCTCTCACGATGGGTCGGAGCAGCAGCATCTCTGCCGGACCTGTGCAGGGAACGAAAGAACAAGAGATAAACGACCTCGTCTCCGACCCACGAACCCCAGAGCCGCCCGAGCAGGCAAGGCAGGACCAGTCCCTCGGGGGGCGGGGTAAGACACGCAGCAGCTTCCTCCTCCCAGGTGCAGGTACCCCAGATCCCACAGCAATGAGCCTATCTCCGCCGGGGGGGTGTGGGGGGGTCCCAGCTCAAACCCGAGACCAGCGGCCAGGAGCCACGTCCTACCGGAGCTCCCAGAACAGTCAGCGCAGGGACCGGGGCAGGACGCGGCTGGCTCGGGCCGATCCTCCCCACACCGGAGAAGTTGTGCGCAAAGCAGAACCGCTGTTCAGGAAGGCGGGACGTTCAGCCAGGGGCCGGAACAGGCAGCCGAGCTCTGCTCCCTTGGCAGAGTTCCTGGCTTAGGCCCTGCCTGATACAGCCTCTCGGGCTGTATTTTCTGGAGTGTCCAGGCATCATTTTCCGAGCCCAGGGGGGAGAAAAACTTGCTCTTAACTGTTCCCCTCGCCTTAGCGCCAAGGGAGGGATTTGAAATTCCTGGGGACGGGAGCGGCGCCTGTTCCCCAGCCGGATCTCGTCCTTCCATTCCAACCCCCCAGGGGAGGGACACGGCGTGGCACAGACGACAGCGAGTGCCAGCTGCGGGGCTGGATTTAACCCCCCCCTTAACCTTGTGTTCAAACCGCCCCCGGGAGGCGAACACACGGGATCTTTGTCGGGATGGGGACGAGGCAGGTGGACAAGTCAACGCCCCGTTCTGGGCATCCGGGATCCAGCTGACAACCGTCCCCCTCCAGAGGGAAAATAACCACTCAAGAGTCACCCAATGCAAATCAGCTGGGGGCCAGGCTGCCCCCCGAACACCCCCACAACACCCAGGGGGCACCTGCCCCCTTCAGCCAGCTGGGGGGGTTCTGCCACAGGAGGATGGCCTGAGAGTTTGAAGCCCCAGGCAGTTTGATCTCCTGGAGACCCCCCCAAACGCTTGGGGGCCAGGCGCCCCATACAATGGGGCACTGCACATGGAGGAGGAAGGGGGGGCACTGCACATGGAGGAGGAAGGGGGGGGCACAACGTGGGGTGTAAATCCCTGTCCGGACCCTGCCTGGGGGAGCAGGGAACCACGTACTGCCCCCGCCCCCAAATGCTCCTTAGCGCCCACTAGGCAAGGAGCATGTACAGCCAGAGCTCCAGGGAGTCCCAGAGCACCCCCCCAGGCATCTCCCCCAGAGCACCCTGCTCCCAGTGCAACCCCCCACGTGCCCCCAACCACCCCCCAGAGCACCCTGCCCCCAGTGCAACCCCCCACGTGCCCCCAACCACCCCCCAGAGCACCCTG